ATATATATATATATATATATATGTATATATATTTATATGTCATATATATATGTATATATAATGTATATATACTATAATAAGTATATATGTATAGTTATAGTAAGTATATATATATATAATATCTATATTATATTAGTATATGTATGTATAATATATACATAAGACCCACACAACATTGTGTAATGTATACTATGTAGACACTATGTATACTGTATTTTAATACTACATATATATAGTGGATATTATATATATTATATGACTAGATCATAATTACTAGTATATCTTGATTATTTATATATATATTATAGTATATTGTATGGTATATAATACTGTATATATATACACCACTGTATTATATATATATTATATAACTATATATACTTAATATACTTATTATATAATATGTAGTTGTGAGTATATATACAATAAGTATATATATATAAATTATATACGTTATATTAGTATTAAGGTATATATGATGTAATATGTAGTAGTATACAGTATATGTAATATAGTATAATATATATATATAATACGATATATATATTGAAGTGATTACTAGTTATAGGTAGCTATAATATAATGCGTGTGCTGCTGTGTGTGTGTTGTGTGTGTGTGGTGTGGTGTGTGTGGTGGTGTGTGTGGTGTGTGTGTGTGGTGTGTGTGCTGATTATTTATGTTATTGATTTATTTATTATTTATTTAGTTTATATTTTAATTATACATAATATTAAATTAGTTATATATATATATCATAGTATATATTATATATTATTATAATATATATATATATATATATATATATATATACATAATAAATATATTTTAACATTCAGGGAATCAATAACACTTTGGGACAGTAGTGATGTGAGAGTTAAAACCACTGTTTCTTGGAAGCTAAACCCGAACCCAACAAATATTCTGTGAACCAAGACCCTGATCCACACTGGCTACTCTGTATACCTTGGGATATAGTTTTTAAATTGTTGTAGGTATGAGGTAAGGGTGTAAAAGATCATACGTAACAGTACAAAATTGTTAATTGTGGTGTGAGTCCCAAATTATGATCTTGTATTTTCCTTTACACCAAAGGCATTGGGATCCTTTAACACCCCCTATAACACTTGGTTTGGTATTAATCCCAAAATTTACTTCCATCATTTGTTGTTTTATAACTTCCAGAAAACTTGATTTTTGGTTTAGTTATTTATTTCCTTGCAGTTGACAGACATCCGCAATTCATATTTACACTGCAAACACCCGCAGTTCATATGTATAATGCAAACTATTGAAATGACAAAAAATTAAACTGTGTTTGTAGATAGATTTTGTGGAATTTTACAGTAACTGTAGATTAGTTCAAGAAATGATTGAAGAGTACATTTTTAATTTTTTCATCAAAAGTTAACACAACAAAGTTACACCAAGTAACACATCCTTTTTTTTTTTTTGGCTTTCGAACTTTTTTTCTCTCTTTTTTTTGGCTTAAGCAAGGTAGTGCTATTTTTTTACTTTTCTTTGTCGCAGTGACCAGTAGTGATGACAAAGCCAGCTGCCCAGAATCAGAAGCCAGCAAAACACCCGCAGACAGTTCTTCAGAGTGTAGTAACGTCAATAACAAAGTAACTACAGATGAACAGCCACAGAGTTCCGAAGCTGCGCCGCCACCAGACTCACATGAAGATAAGTCCGATACTCAGGTAGGGAGTGAAAAGTTTGCTACATATATTGTGATATTTTTTTGGATGAACAAAATATAATATTTATGTATATGTAATGATAATGTATCTGGTATTGATAATGTAGATAACATTATGTTGTTATATAACAGTGTGAAATAAATGGTCCCATATGCACTTGTGTATATATAATAGTATATAATATATATATATATATATATATATATATTATGTATATCTGTATACCATCTATTATCATATATAATCTATATCTATATCTGTATACATCTATATCTATATCTGCTGTATCTATCTATATCTATCTATCTATTTATCTATCAATATATATATATAATATATATATATATATATATATATTATATAATTATATATATATATATATATAATATATATATATATGGATACTGTATCCATGTTGACAAATGTAGAAAAGGTATGAATGAGACTGGATATCTTCACAATACAAGAGATGTATAAATAACATCTCTTGTATTGTGAGATATCCAGTCTCATTCATACCTTTCTACATAATATGGATTATATGTATACATGTTTATATATTACGTATATTATATATACTACTATATATATATATATATATTATATAGTATATATATAGTACGTATATGATATATTATATATATATACATATATATAATCTATATATATAATATATATAGTAAATATACTATTATATAGTATATATAGATATGAATATATATAATAATATATATAATATATATAATATATATATATAAATAATATATAGATATATATATAGTATATAATATATATATATA